CCGACTAAATCAATATGTATGTTTCTGAAACGCTCTGCAGGTACTGTGAAACTTGCTGGTGCTGAAACGACATGTCTTGAAACTTTTGATGCTTGACAAGGAATGCAGTTCTTAACCCAAAATGCGACATCCTTGTTTACACTTGCCCAGACAAATTTGGCTTTTATAAACTTAGTTGTTGCTTTGACTCCAGGGTGAGATAGCCCGTGTATTATGTTAAATACTAGTTTGCGGTGTGTAACAGGAATGTATGGTCGTACTACACCTGTTGAAGTGTCACATACTAGTGAAACCTTGGACTCAGGAAGCTCTATTTTACCTAACTTCAGACTAGTAGATCCATCGAGTAAGTTTTTAAGTTCTTGATCCTCTTCTTGAGCATTTGATATCTCTTCATAGTTTAACTTATTCACATTTATTTGTTCAATTCTTGACATTAGATCAGCAGTTACATTTTGTTTACCAGGAATGTGTTTTATTTCGGTGGTAAACTGCCCAATATAATCCAGATGCCTAAACTGTCTTGGAGAGCACTTGTCTAATCTTTGGTTAAACGCATATGTCAGGGGCTTATGGTCTGTCCAAACTATAAAATGTCTCCCTTGTAACATATGTTTAAATTGCTTGATCGTGAGGTATATAGCGAGTAGTTCTCTATCATAAGTGCTATACTTTTGCTGTGTGGTACTTAACTTCTTTGAAAAAAATGCCAATGGTCTCCAATTTTGGTTTTCTTCTTCTTGTTGTTCCAAGACACCTCCGACAGCAAAATCTGATGCGTCAACTTTAACTGCTAACGGTGCTGAACTCCTTTGATGTGCTAGTAACACTGCATTTGCTAAAGATGCTTTGCACGCTTGAAAAGCACTCTCAGTAGCTTCGTTCCATTTAATTTCTGTCTTGTCATTTTTCTTATTTCTTTTTTGGTATGTCAACAAAGGTATTTGGTTTTCAGCAGCATTTGGCAAAAAATGTCTATAAAAATTAATCATACCTAAAAACTTTCTTAACTCTTTGACTGTATGTGGTTTTTTGTAGTCAAGGATAGCTTGGACTTTTTGTGGTAGTGGTTTGGTACCTGTGCTACCTATACTATATCCCAAAAAGTCAATCTGTTCAACTCCAAAAATACATTTGTTTACATTTAACAACAATCCAAATCGGTCAAGGCGTTCAAACACTGTTCTGAGGTGGTCCTCATGTTGTAGTTTACTTTCAGAAGCTACCAGTACATCTTCCATGTATGGGAAACAGTATTCTAATCCCTCGAGTACTTTGTGCATGAACCGTTGGAATGTTTGACCTGCGTTACGTAAACCGAATGGCATACGAACAAATTCGAATAAACCAAATGGTGTACTTACAGCTGTTTTAGGAATGTCATCTTCAGCTACAGGTATCTGATGATATGCTTTCTTGAGGTCGATTTTAGAAAAACAGTTTTTCCCTTGTAATATGTATGAAACATCATGAATGTGTGGTACCGGATAATTATCTGCAACTGTCTTGTTATTGAGTGCTCGGTAATCACCGCATGGTCGCCAGCCGCCATCAGCTTTTCCAACCAAATGTAGCGGGCTTGCCCAAGAGCTACTTGATGGTCGACAAATTCCCAACTCCACCATACTTTTGAATTCTCTTTTAGCAATCTCCAAACGGTCCGGTGGTAAACGCCGCGGTTTTGCGCTACACGGTGTTCCAGACGTTGTAATGTAGTGAACTACATCGTGACTTACGGCTATTGACCTGGAAAAAGGTTTGGTAATTAGTGGAAATTCTGACAATATACTCGCATATGGATGGCTTTCTTGTATTGTTTTGATTGTGATGCTCGAGCATTCAATTGTTGAACACCGTCTTGTTAACTTAGTTAAGTTATCAATAAGTCTATTGTTGTTCAAATCAACGAGTAACCCGAAATGCTTCAGTAAGTCTGCACCTATTATTGGTTTTGTTACGTCTGCAATAACAAATGGCCAGCAGTACGGTCGACGTAAACCAAGGTTTAAAGTTATTGTCTTCATGCCGTATGTATTAATGGCTGTACCATTTGCTGCGTATAATTTTAATGTATTTGATTTTTGTTGTTTGTCTGTGTTTGACAGTGGTACGACTGAGATGTCTGCTCCACTGTCGACAAGGTACTTAAGTTTGCTGGTGACATCAGTTACAAATAAGCGGTTTGTTGTGCTTGCACAACCAGTCGCCGCTTCAACTGGTCTGCTTTCTAGTTTTTTGTGTTGCGGAGGCTTGAGTGCATCCTGCACCACGAACCTTTACAGATTTTTGCTTGATCCTTGAACTTGGAATGGTAATAACAAAGCTCATCTCTCATCTCATTTTTGTCACGAGACTTGGACCTTGTTCTTCTGTATTGCTTGTCGTCCCTCCTGTCATTGCTACGGCCCCGTTGGCTCAGCTATTCAATCGCTTTGGTAAGTGAAATGATTTGCAGTTCCAGAGCTGAGTGCGCGTTATTGGTTTGACATTTGCATTGTTTCTCCGTGTTCACAGTTGCTACAGTACTTATTTCACTTACTTCATGGATTTTATCAACCATTTTTGACAAATTAGATAGCGAATCTGTGCTGGTTGTGAGTACAGCTTGCACTTGTACAGGTAGGCGCTGTAACCACAGATTTTTCAGCATATCGTCGGCTAACTGGTCACCTGCTAACTGCTGCATCTCACGAAGCAAGTATGACGGTTTTTTATCACCTACAGGGCCGGCGTTATACAATTTTGACGGGGGGGTGAGATCAAGAATTTGCCGACTGAAATTTAATTTATGCCGACTCATAATTTCTTTAAAACATCATTACATCAACAATCACTTCTGCAACTGTATCCGGGGCCGACACAAGAAAAATCTGACGGAAGGGGAGGGGTGTCATACTAAAATTGCTGGCTCCAAGTATCTTTGCAGACTCGAAAAAAATTTAAAACCGGAGTAATAACAATGAATGTAATTTTAAAATAATTTTTTAATGTAAATCAAATATTACATAAGTACATATTATTATACATGGTTAGTCTAAAATTAAATCCAATATATATTAAGATATATGTATATCATTATTTATCATTATATTTATCAATTAGGTTTAGGTACCTATAGGCATATGATTTTTATTAAAATGTTAGTAAAGGTAAAAAGTAAATAATTAAATTAATAATTACACCAGGCACCAAGTTTTTATATTCTATACAATATTATAAAAATTTAAAATAATAACAATGTTTTTACAATAATTGTGAATTATACATTTATTCGTCGTTCTTTAAGGGTTGCCCAACTTTCTATCATTGTTGTCATGTCTAAATAATTTATTTGAAGTAAATTCTTTAGATATAACATTAGAAGCAGATTGTATATACATAGTTGACTTTTCTTTAACAGAAGAAATCAATTCAATACTCATCGTTAAGAAATGAATGGGATTTGGAATATCATCATCATGCACTTTTTTAAGAAGCAATTTACATTCTTTTATAATTTGTACTAAAGATGAAAGTTTACCTACACAATCAATCCAAGATTCAGTGTTTTCACTATGATTATTAATATTTTTAGTATCAAGATCATTTTCATTTTTTTTACTGCTTAAAACGGCACAATCATCCTGTAAATTTAACAAAATTAAAAATTATAATTAAACTGTCTACTTAGAAACCTAGTTACTTAAGTGTTTTAAAATATTTTATTTTCCTAATTTATAACAACATTTTTTATAAAATGTATTGAAAAAATTATGATTTATACCAATTATTTTGTTTGGGTATTGTAAGAATTTTACCATAATATTAAAGTTATAAAATTAAACTATATAGTTGTCTAGCTATATGCCTATATGTATTATTAACTAAAAAATAAAAATAACTTACTTCTAATACATCCAAAAGATATTCTATAGTTTCACTAAAACAGTTTTCTTCTTCTGAAGTAGGTTGTAAGTAAGTTGTGCAAGTTGTGGTATTTTTGGTTACCTATTAATAAGAAATAATAGATATAAATTGAAAATATATACATTTATATAAAATAACAATATACATTATAATAAAAAAATCAATAATTAATATAAAAAATGTATATATTAATTATATATTATATTTTTTTATTAATTTCTAAAAAAAAGTTAATTTGCATACTTCTAATTGAATTGGATCTTTTTCAACAGATGTGCATGTATCAACATTATTTTCTTCAATGTTTTGAATATTTTCCATAGTAGAACTTGTGCTGGTTTTCTATCATTTGAAAAAATAAGTTAAATAAAAATACCATTTCTTATGCAGGTACTTAATTGAATACATTTAATTTTAAACTAACTTACAGTTGGTGAATATGCTCTATGTAAGTATTTTGAAGCTTCGAATGGATTTTCTGGTGCACCGAAATGCTTTACTGAAACTCGTTTTCCATTATGTTGCTGACGTTCATGTTTAGCACGATAATCTTTATTAAATACACCACCACACTTAAGGCACTCAAGCTTAATTCTTTTTCTTTTATTTTCCATTAGAAATTGAAATTAAAAGTGAAAATTATAATAATATAAACCTACTCACACACAGACGACAGTCAATAGAACGTGTATTGTGAAATGATTGGTGATGTGCACTGTGCAGTACTGCAGTAGACGGTAGACAGTAGTGTAATACTATAGTAGTGTAGTGGATAGATGCACGCCGCACGGGATACGGGAAAATGTTTATCAGTTTATACCAACAGTTTTAAAAATAGATATGGGCTGTTCCACGGCTATAGTAGGTATCTGTAGTCGTGGCTATTCTAGATGTACATATTTTATTTATATCAATAATCAATTTGCCATTTGCCAACTGATATCGGAACTATTTATATTTTATATTTTATAATTGGAATGTTTTTAAAAGATATTTAATTTTTATTTGTAAATACAACAAATAGGTTATTTTATCTAAAAAATTCCGTATGCCGAAAGTGCCGACTTTCATTACGATTATTCGATGGCGGGGTGTCACGACCCCCAATACCCCACTTGCCTCCGGCCCTGATCACCTAGTTCTAAATCACACAATAACTTTTTAAGCTTTTTCTCCTCCGACTCGGATAAACGCTCGGCGAGTACCTGCTTTAGTTTTAAGTACTTATTGCTTACCGGTGGTTTTTCGAGAATATCCGATACGTACGTTAGGATGTCTCCGTCTAACGCGCCAACAACGTAATGAAACTTTGTCTCGTCGTCAGTGATATTTGCCGTGACAAAACGGGACTCGAGTTGAATGAACCACATTTTTGGATTCTGTACCCAAAATGGTGGTGCCTTGAAATGGTGGATAAAAGTTGGCTGTTGGACTTGTTGTGTTTGTTGATTGTCGCCGGGCATGTTTTCCGTTTTTTAAACACAAAATATATCGTTCGAGGTCGAGGTCACCACTATGTAGGAGTATCTTGTTGTGAGGAACTTTAATACTCTACAATTAGTAATTAGTACAATTATGTTTTAGTAAGAACTATATTTTTATTAAGTAAAAAATTTTAATAAATCTCTTTCAGATCACATGCTTGCTATTTTTGTAACAATTAAAAAATTAACCTAACCTAAGTTTTATTCAGATATGGTAACCTAAAATATTAACAAATAATAATAATCAGTCTGACCATCTGCACCACAGACCCATCATAGTATAATTGCCAAATTGAGTGGCACGTCATGGGGAGCTGATGCAAATACCCTACGAATCAGCACGCTAGCACTAGTATATTCAGCTGCGGAATACTGCGCCCCAGTATGGATAAATAGTGCACATACCAAAAAACTTGATACACAGCTCAACTCAGCAATGAGAATCATAGGAGGAACATTAAAAACTACCCCTTTAAAATAGCTCCCAGTACTGAGCAACATAGCTCCTCCTAAGATCCGAAGAGAACAAGCTCTTATCCGGGAATGGACTAAAATCAACAATAACAAGGGGCTTCCAATACACGCAGATGTAAGATTAAATGTGGATAGATTGCGACTTAAGTCACGCAAACCACCCTGGAGAACCGCAGAGATGCTATTAATGGAAAATACCGGGGGAAATGCCAAATGGCTTGAGGGATTGGATGGTGGAGAACCCTGATGGACAAAATATCGTTACCAATCCAACTTCCAAACAACCAGGCTTCGATCTGCCTAGACAAATTTGGGTGACCCTAAACCGCATTAGGACCGACCATGGAAGGTGTAATCACATGATGTTCAAATGGAAATTACATACTACTCCTTCATGTGACCGTTTGAATGACAAGCAAACAATCCCCCATATAGCAACTGAATACCCGATCCGTTCATTCAGGGGCACTTTAAATGATATCCATACAGCTAACGTGGATGTATGTAGTTTATTGGATACGAAATCTGGACATTAATTTAAAGCCTATAACCTATTTTTATTTTTATTTATATTTTTTATATGTTTCTGTTAATATTTACATGTTTAAATTTGTTGCTCTACTCTGTCATACGAAATATATATTTACTCCCAACTGTACTTGTCAGCCGTGTCAAGGCGTTCCAGCGCAAGTCCGTCGTGGCAGGTGGTCCCGCTGGCGTCGCATCCTATGACCTGTGGGTTGGTTAAAAGCTTGATGCGGCAGGCAATCGGTGTTTTGTATTCAAACGCAAATTGTCCAGTCCACGTCACAGTGTAACACAAATACTTAAACGCACCGGTTAATTGATTGGAAAATGTATACATTAAACATATTTAAATACCTATTTATGAATACATTACTCTGTTTGAATGGATAAGGTTTACATTACCTTTCTAGGTATATGTAGGTCCTTTATCCCATGTTTGGACCTTACCCGTAATACATATGTACGTATGTATACCATATAAACAATATAGGAAAATATTTTTATGTAAAAACATTATTATATATTTTATTAGAGCCATTAGAGCAGGTAAAAAATGTTTCTGAGGACCGGATACAGAACGTGGTTCTCAAGTTGGTTACCCCTGGTCTATACGGTTTACCGGCGTATCTGTTTCATCACGCTCTGGTATCGATATTATAGGGAGTCTCCGATAAGGAAATGAGTTAGACTAGATGGAGGTTAAGCTGGTATGTTTAATGAATGGGAAGGATTATAGAACAGGGCTTTAAAGGCTGATAATTTAGACACGCTTCTACCATAATGAGTATAGACAAGACTCTTTCGTACGTTAAATAAGACTCGTATTATAGTACACTTCGTATTAATGATTTTATATATTTAATCCCTCCAAAATAAGGCAATCTGGGGGGGTAAATTTCTATTAAATACTTATTGTAGCCCGACCAGATTGAACGATGTCTTGATACTCTTGAGCTTGAAAAAGTTGATATACTTCTTTCTAGTGCCAATTTTCTAATACGAAGTGTATAGAATTGTCAGAATAAATAGTAGTACCTCTGCGATAAAAAAAATTGGATCATCGCATTTAAAAATGAATTAGTGCTCAAATCTATAACTAGGTACATCTAATTCAAAATGTGCTGCTGAAAAATGGTATTCAAAATGTATGTATTTTTTTGTTTTTTGCTTGAATAGCAGTCCGTAAAAATACGGCAAACGAAAACCTCGAGCTTGATTTATTGAGAAACCTTTACCCTAATTTACAGTCCATTTTATCCACGAATTACCGAACACAGCGCTTTATAGGATTGTTGTGTTAACCGGGAGAATAAGGAACTATTCACAGAACAATCCTATAAAGCGCCAGCGGCCTATCCGTAACATAAGAAATTATTGCCAAGAAATATGAGTTGATAATTCACTGCGTTCCGTGTCCAGTATATTGTTACGTACCTACGTATTTAGTAATTAAGTAATAACAATGTACGACGTAGCGCAGGTTTCTAATAGTACTCGACGATATAATTAATAAGGCAATTAGTATATTATAACACGTTAGGGACACTGTAAAAGTATCTCTCTAGGAAAGTCAACCATTCATACGAAGGATACGAATCGACCAGCATACCAAGTACGAGACCCGGACGCAGTCTCATGACCGAATTTGGCCATTGATACAACCACCCACTCCAAAGGACTCGATCATATAAATACCAGCCCGGGACAAGAGCTCGGCAGACGGTTAGGGATACTCAAGACATTTGGAGTCAGGTCATAACACCGCTCACATCTCCACCATAGCTTATATACATTGTAATTTTGTACTTAAATAAATACTCATAATAACCTATTGCATCAAGTATTCATTTCCACGTTGATGTATAAATCGACGTCAGTTGGGACGCAACAGAATTTTGGCGCTGTGGACAGGGTCTTCCAAGATACAAGGATCATTCAACAATATTTTTCGAAATATTTTGGATCAACTTCAATCAACAGAGGCAACTTCACCTTCGTGGATCACCGTTGAGCTGAGGAGTGCACGCTTCAATTCAACGACTCTGGGAAGACCGAACGTTTGTTACAATCCAACTACGGCGAGAGAGATCAAGCAACGAGATGAATACAGCAATGTTGTAAGCATAATTTATATAACCGTCTCCTTTGGTCTATTGGTCCATCGTAATTAGGGAAAATTATTAAAGAAAGGGCATATTATAAAAATATTATTAAAATATTATTGAAGGGCATATTATAAAAAGTTATTTAAGGGGCAATTTTTTGAAGATATTATTGAAGTTATTAAAGGGCATTTATTGAAGTTATTTTTATGAATTATTAAAGGGCATTTATTGATTATTATTGAAGGGCAATTATTGATTATTATTGAAGATTATTTTGTGAACTATTAAAGGGCATTTATTGAGAAGTTATTATTATGAATTATTAAGGGTATTTTATATTATTTTGAGAATTATTGTGAATTATTACAGGGCATTATTGAGATTATTATTGAGATTATTATTAATTATTGAGGCCATATTTTTGAGTTCATCTTATTATTTAAGTACAACTCCCTTGGAATTAGCTACTCCATTGTATAGAACACGTGTAGATTTTGTAGCCCATGTTTTAAAGTCCCTAGCCCATGTTTAAAGCCCGCCAGCCCGAGTAGAAGCCCCAGCCGAATTTAAAACCCAAATCGAATAAAAAAATAATAAGTCAATTAAGATTATATTAAATGAGATTATAATTAAAGGATTAGAGTAAAAAAAAAAAAAATAAATATTAATGAACAATAGTTCAGAAGGAAATATTAATGACGAATTTGAAACGATAGCTAGAGAAACGTTAGATAGAATAATTGAAATAATCGAAAACGAAAGTAATTTAGAAATTGACGTAAACAATACTGATAGCGAAATAGTTGACAACATAGAAATAAATAATTTAGACGAAGAATTAGATTTATTTAATGAAGAAATACTTAATGAACGTATAGAAACTAAACCAATAACCAGTGATATATTAAATAAAAGTTTACGATTAATAAACCTAGAAGAGTTTGAAAATAGTCCTACTACTAGCGCAATTCGTCAAGGGTTACGAAGTAGTAAAAATACTATACACACCGAATATATTCAACCAAAAAGAATAGTTAAAGTAAAGAAAATGCCAGGTAGTACCGACGGGAAATCCATAAGTGCGTTAGACGCAATAAAATTAATTCCTAACTATTCAGGACAAACTGAAATATATCCATTTTTAAATGCATGCGAAGTAATCATAAATACGGTAGATTCAGAACAGCACCCTTTTATGTTAAAAATGATAGCAGCTACTAAATTGTCAGACAGAGCTTTTAATGTAACCAGATATAAGGAAATTAAGGTATGGGAAGATATGAAAAAAATATTATTAGACGCATTCGAAACTCCTTACGCTGCAGCTAATTTACAAATCGAATTAAATATAATAAAATTAAGGAATAATGAAACCATATGCGCGTACAATAATAGAGTAGAAGAAATATACCAAAAGTTATGTAACACAGTGGCCATAGACAAAACTTCCGTAGAAGCAAAAATATTACGTGACAATATTAGGGAACAAGCGTTAGTCAGTTACATAAACGGTTTAAGCGACCAAATAAAATTCGAAGTAAAAACGAAAAATCCTACCACTCTTGAACAGGCAATGCAAATCGCGTTAATTACCGAAAAAAATATTCGTACTTACAATGATGTACAAGAGATTTTCCGCTCAAATAATACGTATAGCAATAGGAATACGAATCAAAATAGACAATATAACAATAATAATCAAAACACAGAGTACAACTATCGTAATAATATTAATAACAATAATAATCAAAACGCAGCGTACAACTATCGTAATAATATTAATAATAATAATACTAACAGAAACAATTCCTACGATAGGAATACTAATAGAAACCCAAACTCAAGAACTAATAATTATAATGTTAGGCGTTG